CAATTTCTCATTCACCTGAGTATCATTTTTGACAAGTATATGATTTCGATGTACTCACGGAGGAGAACACAAATCAACTTTCATATTCCAAAATAGTCAAGCGGGTCCCTCTCAAAATTAGCTCCAAATTCAGCCCACAACTCAATTTAATTCCAGTTTTTTCCAACATGTTACAATATTCTTCTCAAATATTGATTTAAATTATTTCTGTTCAAGAATAATAGTACAATATTCTTCTTGAATATTGATTTAGATTATTTCTTTTCAAGAACAATAATACAATATTCTTCTGAAATATTGAACGAAAAAAATTACATTCACATAAATATTTATTTATCATAAATTGGTATCGTAAACAAAAGAGTTTCTTTGTAAACCAAACTAACAATGTTTAAACCATTAACTAGGACATATACATGATTCACAAGCAATGTATTTATCGATTTTCAAATTCGATGGTGATTCAGTCTTAAATAGGAATGACAATATGGAGGCGCCACCCCTTTTAATAAATTATTTTTAAATACGATTCAAATTGAAAAGCATAAAATAAAATAAAAATATTTATGGCGAGTTCGGAGAATTTGGCACGTCTCCTTCCCCGTCCAGTTTATTCTTCGGATTTGGACAATACTGAGTGGGTCGGGAACATGAAATCTTCTACATAGCCTTGAAACACAGCAATCCACATCATCAATAAATGTAACAATGCACCCGCGAATTTGGATATAAAAATAGACATTATGTGATTCATAGAGCTTTTTTTAAAGAATAATTGTATGAAGTTTAGTCAGTGCTTTGAAATAATGTATTTGGTAGTATGATCATGTGATTTTATTTTATGAATAAATATGCATTATGATTTTATTGGACAATGTAATAGTAATCTCACTATTAGATAGATCGATGTTAAACACCAGTAGACTTGAATAACAGTACTCTTTTTTGATGCCCAAAAACTCTTCTTGAAGGTTAAAAACGCTTTTCATTTAAATTAAAGGTTCATTTGACATGAATTTTGCTTTTAATTTTACTTTTTTCTCTTATAATTAGAAGAATCACTTTTATAAAACTAGC